TAAAAATAAAACAAGTACTAAGCATTGCAAAATCTGTAGATTAGAAAAAAGAACAAACCGAGATATAATGAATCTACGACAGAAGCATTCAGGCAAAGCTCTGTCTTTGCACTGTAGACTGATATAAGAGAAGGCACATAGACAGAGCTAACAAATGGAGTCAATAAAAATGAGTATTTCTTTACTAAACCTTAACCAAGCAAAAAATAAACTAAAAACAAACAAACAAAAAACCTAATGGCTGGAATTGGGGGGCTTTTCAGGGGCACAGTGGAAACCTAGTGCCATAAAAACTCCATGGGTTTACAAGAGTAATCCTAGCAAAGTCTCCTTGTAATGGGGGACCTGGTGCCTGAACCGGCCATCTTCTGTATTCAGGTAGAAGGATTGGGACACCAATCCAGCCAGAAAACTTTGACCTACAGCTTATCCTGCCTACAGAATGATCCTGGACTAGAGCCTAGCCGAACTCTCATCAAAGAGACCAGAAAAGATTTCATGCAGCAGTTGAAAGTCAACGCAGAGTACCACAGCCAAACAATCTGTGGAGCTCAGAGAGCCCTGCAGAGTAGGGGGAGGAAGGATTGGAGAAATCGGAAGGATCAAGGGCACCAGGAGAGCAAGACCAAAAGACTCAGTGACTGGGATGCACCGGGGCTCACAGAGATCAGGAAGCCTGTTGGGGTCTGACCTAGATCCCCTGCATATAAGTTACAGCCAAGGAGCTTGGTGTTCTTGCAGGATACCTAAAAGTGGGAGCAGGAGTGGTCAGATGATTCTAACTAAAATATCCATTTAACTTAACTGACAAAAACAACTAAAAACGGTGATTTAATAATGAAAACATCTGCATCCCTATTGATCTGTCCACTTCTACAAACAGCTATTCTTTGAGGTATATTCTATTTTACAAAAGCTGAGTTTTCCTGAAGCACTCTTTGTGGGGGATAGCAATTAAGCAGTAATATGCAGCGTTAAATGGATCTATAGTATTATCCTTTTATTTTATAAGTAGTTGTTCATGCCCATTTCTGAAAATAGTAATTTTCATGCAGTATCTAAAATATCACAGAAAGCTATTAGAAACATGAAAGGCCTACAGTAGCTCACTGAAGGTGACTGAAGAGAAACTAAGTCTCAGAAATGATGAGATATCTAAGGGTCTTGGGAGAAATGGAGTCACGGAGCTTCCTATGCTCTGTTTTTTTTTTGTTTTTTTTTTCTTTTTCCTTTTTCTTTTTCTTCTGGGCCTTATCTGTAATTCTTGGGAGAAGCCCTGGCCCAGCAGAAACCATAAGCTGTCCAGCAAAAGCTGCTCACTTTTCACTTTGAAACATTTCACACTTTACTTTCTCCACCTTCCTGTTTCAAGGTATCCTGCACCCTCTTCTATCCTTTGCAGGCATTCTGTGCATGTGGAACATAGGTACATATGCAGGAAAAAAAGTCCATATATATTTAAATTAAATTACTTTCCTGTTTGTTTTTTGAGACAGTGTCTGTATATGTAGCCGGGGTTGTCCTGGAATTCACTATGTCCTGGAATTCACTATGAGTGTCCTCAATTTCATACAGTACACCTGCCTCTGCCTCCTGAGTGCTGGGATTAAATATGTGTGCCACAATGCCTGACTTCTAAATTATTTTTTAAAAAGTGCTCTTGAAGTCCTTTCTAGGTAAGTTATGAATTGGGAGGCACCTAAGGGTAAAGGAATCATTGTGGCAAAATAGAGATGTAAAGGAAGTGGGACCAGTCAGAGGGGGAGCAAGAGAGAAGAGAAAAGATGGACGGACACATGGGTCACAGGCAAAGTATGTCCTGTGAATAATTCAGCTTTGGTGAATAAGAGTTTTGAAGATTCAGTATCAGTATATTATATGAAAAAATTAAAGTAAAATTATTTATCATATTACTTTTCCTTTAGGACGAAAAGGTAATTTGGGGTACCTGCTATTGAACAAATACATGAAGAACTAGAAGCAGAGGTATACAGGACAATGTTCCTTGCAAAGAAATAATGAACAAAAGCATTCATTTTTGCAAAAAAATTTTCAATAACAGTTGGGTTAGGGCAAAAATATTAAGCATCACAAAAATACTTAAAAGTATAATAAAAATGACTAGGGATTTGCACATCTACTCACCTGTATCTATTTACCTGCATTAAAGTTTCAGTTTCTCTGTTACTTTTTTTTTTCAGAATAGGCATCTGTGAATAACTAACTATGTGCTATACAAGTATTTAAGTGTGTATCAGAATTTCTTACAGACATGCCATTTCAATACAAACAATACAAATCTCCATCACTATGAAATGAGGAGTGGATAAATTAAAAGAATGCCTGGCACTAGGAAGTACTTCATAATTGTTGCACAGTATTATAACTATTAAATAGTAAGTGTGAATTATCTACAAGAAAAAGCAGTTGTGAGGACTGAGAGACAGGAAAAAACCAAAAGTCCACAGAGTGGCTCAAGGTTTGGTTTTTAAACACCGTGGCGCTGATTTTTATTTCCATAGAAATAAAACAAGACTTAGGAATGCCAATTCGACTTTTCAAGGATTCTCACAAATTCATCTTTGATAAATAACTCAAAAAACACAAACTACAAAATAAATACTAAATAATAGGGAATTTTATAAAGAGATAAAAATAAGTACCTTGTGTGGCTCAAAGCTGAAAAGAAGATTGATCTGATGTTCAAAAATAAATGGCATTAGGTGACTGGAGTTAGACTTTAAAACTTTATAGGTCAACAACGAAACCCACAGTGTGGCCAGAATGACAAAATATCCTTGACCAAGGCAGTACTTGTGAAATAATATGGTCACCATGACAGGACATGTAAAGCATGCTCACTAAAAGCAATGGCTTGGTTGTCAACATGACTACATCTAGAATTAATTAAAACCTAAGATGCTGGGTACACCTATGAGGGATTTTTTTTTTTTGTTTTTACTGAAATAAATCATTTGAAGTGGGAAGACCCATATCTTTGAGACTGGAAGATATACCTTTAATCTGGGTCACAGCTCCAGCTGACAGTCTACAGAAAGAACATTGAAGAAGGAAGCAGGCTCTCTTTTTGTTGCTTGCTCTCACTAGAAAGTCCATTACTTCAGTGGTATTAAAGTCTACTCCTTTGGGATTCCAGTGTATACTGAAGACTATCTGAGACATCCATGAATCACGATTAATAAAAACTAAGAGCGAGAAACTGGGGTTCAACCTGAAGATCCGAAAAACAAAGCAGCCAGCCACTGGTTCTCACCTTGACTTCAGTTCAAAATGGCAATCCTGCCTCCGGGAATTTTAGAATGAGATTATGTCTGAGTGCTGTCTCCTATTTTATAATCCTCTCTAGGGCTGAGATTAAAGGCGTGCACCACTGGGATCAAAGTCATGTACCACCCAGTTTTTATGTCAAATAGTGTGGATTAAAGGTGTGTGTCATTGTAGCTACTGGGATTAAAGGTGTATGACATTGCTGGCTGCTCTGTAAGGCTGACCAGTGTGGCTGTTTTACTTTCCAATGCCTAGGCAAGCTTTATTCATTAAAATACAAGTGAAATGCCACCACACATTCAGCCTTGTGGACTGAACGACTACTGCATTCTTGGGCTTTTCAATAGTAGACAGCCATTGTTGGATAAGCCAGATCATAGCCTGTGAGCCAGTCTAATAAACACCCTTCCTACAGAGATTCTTTCTGTTAGTTCTACAAGCCATTTTAATAAATTCCCTCTCTCTCTCTCTCTCTCTCTCTCTCTCTCTATATATATATATATATATACATATATATATACATATATACATACATAATTTTTCAATCTATCAGTTCTGTTTCTCGAGATAAGCATAACCAGAGCATGTAAAATTGCATAGCATCAGGTTTGTGAGCTTATACCCATTAAGCAAACAGTCTGTTAAATCTTATCACAAATACATTTGGAAGTAATCACTTTATACGAATAGAAAATTTATTTTTGTAGGTTTAAATTCAGATCAGGTCACAGTTCCAGCTAAGAAACAAAAGTATTTTGCTATGTCTATAATGACTGACTATCCAGTCTCCTGTGGCACAAGAGAACAGATATAAGTAATAAAGTGTTAAGACTAGTTGTGCTTTCAAGTCATTATTGATCATCTTTTGATTTCTCTGCTTTAAACTTACTATTGTCTCACCTTGCAGTATGTATGAAGATGTTTTAAAACCAAGAGAACCATTAAAAAAAAAAAAGAATCAGGGATATTTTAGACCATGAGGCCAGAGTTTGCCTAATTTTGATTAAAATTTTTAGTGAATTATATATATGTAAAATATGCTAAAAAAATCACAAGATACTGCTGCTATTCAAATTACCTAGATCAGTAATTTTTAAATTATAAGGAGCACAAAATCTACCCAGAAATCTGGGTGATGTTCAGATTCTGGTTTGTAAGCTTTGCTTTCCTAACAAGGATGCAAGTAACACCATGATTTGAAAGCTCTTTGCACATACAAGGTAAGTAAGACATCGTTTTCAGGATCCCTTTATATTCTTAAAGATCTTTTGTTAAGTGCGGTTACATTTGTCAAATTAATGTTAGAAGCTAAACTGACTAAATTAAAAAATTCTAATTTACCAATTTAAAAAATAATAATAAAAAAAATAAAAATAAGATGTTAACTTATTTTATGAATGCAAATGTGCTTTATATCTTAGCTGTAATCGAAAAGATAGAGATAAACACTTCAGTTAGATCCATGCATGGAAATAAGTGAGGCCGTCTTAAAAAAAAAATCTTTAGTTGAAGGGGATGAATAAGAACAAAGAACGTTTATAAAAACATCCCAATGTTACTTTACTTAAAAAAAATGTTTAAAAAGATCAAGTCACAAAAGTTTATAAAAATGCAAAATTAAATTCTTAGAATATACAACTATAGATCTTCCATTGTGACTTGTGTAGTAGGCACATCATGTTCCTGTGTTCTTCAGGTCATTTGGTACATACCTGTTTTAATGCATGTCCATACTCTGGTCCTTGGGTAGGCAGAAAGTAGGAAATCTGGCCACTATTTTTTGCTCTTTCTATTAGAGACATAGCTGTCCGAACAGTAGCATTGCGAGCATGTACAAATACCATGACCTAAAATGATGGAAAACAGGTTATTTAACATTTCAATTCTTTACATTAAATTTAACTCTGGCATAGAAATCATCACACAGAAATGATTATTAAAGTTTCAAAAGAAAATCTACAATTTCTTGGTGTGGGAACTCCTTCTGTCTGTGAGTTGTTTTTATTGGTTAATGAATAAAAAAGCTGCTTTTGGCCAATGGCTTGGCAGAGTGGAGCTAGGTGGGGAAAACTAAACTGAATGCTGGGAGAAAGAAGGCGAATTCAGGAGAAACCATGTAGCCTCTTCCAGGGACAAACGTGCTGGTACCTTGCTGGTGAGCTACAGCCATCCACAGAATAACAGAAATGGGTCAACCAAAGATTTAAGAGCTAGCCAAAATATGCTTAAGCTATTGGCCAAGTAGTGATTCAAATGGCATGAACAAGGGTATGAACAAGCTGCCTCCTACTACAATTTCTGAATTAGCCAACATTTAAAAAAATACAGAATAAAAGGAAGGTAAATCTGCAACATGACTAATTCATTATAGATCCATGAAGTTGAAGCACAGTTTGTACATTAAGCTCTTGAGATATGATTCACTGCTTTTATTCACAGCATATAAATTTGAGAAAAATCATCTATATAAAAATTGATATGATTTGTATCGTAGTCTCATCCCTCCTCATGTTTCTATGCTTTGCTTTTCATATGAGAAAATTATGATTATATTTTGGAGTTATAGCTTTTTAAAATGTTACAAGTATGTGTGACTGAGTTTTGCTCGGAAGTAGGAGAATTTGGACATGGACTTCTGAGTAATGCATGAATGGGTAAACATTTTGGTTTATTACAGACAGAACACATTTTGCATGAGGATTTGGGTAAGAGCCATAGGGTTCTGGAGGAGAAATGCTATAGTTTTGACCTTAAACATTTCCCCAAGGCCTCTAAGAAAAGGGATCAGTCTGTAGTTTAGTAATACTGCCTGGTGACCAACACTATGAAAGGTGGGGCCCATGGCCAATGGAGCTGTTAGGTCACAGAGCGCACCCTTTGTGTCAGACTCTGGTCCTCTCTCCTTTCTTTTTGCTTCCCAGCCAATATGAAGTTAACACTTTTGATTTACCATCCACTCACTCCCGAGATGTTCTTCTGTGTTACCCGTATCAGAAATAACCATTCCTATCAAACACAGACCAAAGACACAGAAGTAACCATACCTACTTAATATATGTTAAAATGACAAGGCGAAAAGTCAAAACTTCCTCTTTTAAATTTGATGACTTTGAATGCTTTGGTCATGGAAATGGAACAGTAGCAGAAAACAGATATTTGTGGCGGGGATTTATATGCACACTGGAGAAAAATCTATCAATCATTCACAAAATTGCAAAGATACAGACAATAATAGTCTTTCAGCATACATACAAAGAAAAGATCAACACAAAATCTAGAGAAATTCAGAATTTCCTCAGAAGACAAAAAAAAAACTCTCAGTGAGTTCACAGAAAAGAAAAATCAACATTGTGAGTTAATAGGAAAATGTTAACACAAATCCATCAGTTGTTGAAAATAAAAGTTCATCTTCACACCAAGATCAATATTTTATTTAACTAGTGTAGCCTCAAGGTGAATTTTCTTATGAGTCAGCATTTTACAAAATGACATTTTCATTCTGCATGATACAAAGCTTTCTTATGAAAAAGCAACAAAAGGCAGAACATAATGAAACACAAAATATGAGTCAAATAATTACATAATTTTGGTATGACTTATCACTTTAAAACTTTTTAGTGCAGTCAAAAGAAGTACTAGTTACAATCTGAAGTAACAATTTCTTTTTACTATGAACCTATCATGTTTTGTTCAGTAAAATGTACTCCTTTTTCTTATAAGCACTTTCTGTCTAGAGGTTTCAACAGAAGTTATTACAAGGTTTTGGGTCTCTATAAACATACTTGATTTTATGGCTTGCTAATTCTGTTAATTGATTTATTACTATCATTATTATTTTCTCTAGTGACCTCTCAACTTTTATTGGTCCCTTAGTCCCAGGGGTACCTTCCTTTTTAGCCTCAGTACCTCAAAACTATAGTATCAGTGGTACGGTACACCATTTTTCCATCCATAACTTTGCAGGCGTTTGTCCTCTGGATAGTTTGCATGGAATTGCTGCAGTCAGGACATCAAGCCTCAAGTCTTCCCTATCTTTTTGCAAGCTGTGGCAGGTGACAGTCTCAGTGTCAAACTTGACTGATATTCAGCAAGGTGTTGTATTCCTGGGTCTGGCACTGCCTCTCTGCCAAAGGTTGTGCCAGCTCTGAATCCAGCTGTAGAAGGAACCCACTGAGTTGCTCCATCTGCATGTTGTATCAAGCCACCATGTCCTCAAGGCTGTATCACAAACTGACCCGATTTTTCGTGGACTGCATGCCAGTCTCCATGGCCTGGAAAGCATGTCTCAGCTTCAGGAATGTGGTCTTAGTGTCTGATTTCAGCAGACTAGGTAGTGACCACTATGGTGCTCACCTCAATCTGTTGGGCTTAGTACTTCTCCAGTTCCTCATGGTTCATTCTTCTGAGGAAGCTTCTCATACTGGGTCTGGATGTTTGGCAAGATCTTGCTGATGTCCTGAGATTTGGGGGCACCCAGTTGCATGATCAATCTGGAACTGGCAAGCTGGTCTTCCAGTTCTTTGACTTCCTCCTTGTGATTCTTCTTCAAGAACAGCAGTTCCTCCTTAATGGCTTCAACTTCTTCCTCTAGTTGCAGCTTTGTTGAATGAGGCCACTAGTTAGTTCCCAGTTGCTTAGCCCCGAAATAAGCACACAGAAACTGTATTATTTTGATCACTGCTTGGCCCATTAGCTCTAGCTTCTTATTGGCTAACACTTACATCTTAATTTAACCCATTTCTATTAATCTGTGTATCACCGCATGGCTGTGGCTTACCAGGTAAAGTTCCATCTGTCTGTCTCCAGCAGAGGTTCCATGGCTTCTCTTTGACTCCAGCCTTCTTTCTCCCAGCATTCAGACTAGCTTTCCATGCCTAACTAACTTCTGCCCTGTTACAGGTCCAGATCAGTTTTCTTTATTAATCAATGGTAATCACAGCATACAGAGGGAAATCTTATATCACAACTTTGTCATGTTGATGTCATCAACTAACATTTGGAGTCTATGAATATCACTCTGCACAGACCAGTACATGGCCAATGATGTTTTATACTTGACTTCAAAGTCATTAGCAAAATTTGGCATAATCAAGAACATTAATTTTAGTTGTTCATAATCATTCTACAGATTTAATGAAGAAACATTTTTGAAAATATTTGGCAATGTAGATTGACTTGCCAAATATTTTATTTTATATTCAACTAAATATAAACAGTTGCTTTTGCTATTAACTTATGAAGAAGCATATTATATTTGAAGTACGATAACATTTTTATGCTACATCTATTTGGGCAAGTTTACTGGCCACTGCCTTTGTAATATGAGTAAGAGTAGTTATTTTGCAGGAGTGCTGTAGAGACACAATAAAGTAACAGGTTCTAAGTACTAGGAAGAAGCTTGACATTCAAGGTTTAGTGTTTTACATAGGTTTCATTACATTCACTACTACAGGATCCATTCATTGGCAGCAATGCTGATTCTGTCTGCTCTTGGAGGCAACAGGAGATAAATCTCACTTCTGTGTTTGAGCACTATCAGCTCTCCAGTGTGCATTCTCCTGAAAGTAGCTCTCAGAGCGTTCTCCTAATGATGGTTTCAACAGTCTATTGCTGGTGAGCTTAATTCTCTAAACACAAAAGTATGCATTCAAGCAAGACACTCTCTTTAAATTCAAGGAGGAACTAATTGGAAAACTTAGAAACCACATAATAGGGACTAGAGAGATGGCTTAATGGTTATCAAGTTTTTCTTCCCAGGATCAGTTCCAAGCACCCAATTGGGGCAGTGGACAGCTGCCTGTAAATCTAGATCCAGGGGATCTGATGCCTTTCTCTGGACTCCTTGGAGACACACACACCTTCAAAAGTAAAAGGCATATAATGGAATCCAATTTTAAAGTTAAAATTTTAAGACACAAAAGATCACACACTTTTATAAATAATTGCATTAAAAAAATCTTTGTCACTTAACATTATGGAAATGCTGCAGTTACTTCCTGGGGCCACAGGTTTTTTTTTTTTTTTTTCAATTGTATTTCACAAGCATATTATCTGAACTCTCTTCTCTTTCAAGGGAACACTCCCCCTTCCCCAGTGGGGAAAACACTGTAAAGGAGTCAAGTAGAAAGTCGGTTACAAAGCACCTGGGATCTGAACTGGCGTTACTTTACAATCTCCAAATACTGTCTGCTAAATTCGCTTATCAGATTAAAATAACAAAATAGCATAATGTTCCATTAAAAAATGTTTTGTGCTTTTTTAAAGCTTAGATTTTTAAGAGACAGAAAAAAATATAAAAAAGGAGACAAAAATCATATCTTTATAAGAAAAGTTCAATTGATAGTCCACGTGGTACCTTCATAGGACACAAACTACTAATCCTTCACCAGTTAAACAATAGCTTTGAAACATCCTTCTAAATATTTTATTCTTTGAAAATCTCATACACTATAGTTTGATCACATTCGTACTCCTCACAACTCTCATCAGATTCACCCCACCTCCCTTTCTACCTGGCCCCAAGCTGTTTCTTTAAAACTGAATTTGTGCTCCACAAATACTTTCATGATTAGGGTCCTCACTAGCTGATGGTTGACCAAGCAGGGGTCACAGCCTTAAGTAAGTCTAATTTATCTTCTCCCAGCAGCTATCAATTGCTAACAGGTCTCCAGCTACAAGGGTACATCATGCCCATCTCCTCAGCTCCATGCAAAGGTTTACTCTGTTTTGAGTTTGCACAGGTCTTATAAATATTGTCATAAACGCTCTGCAGTTCTATATGCAACTGTCCCGTTGTGTCTAGAAAGTTTTAAAGTGTTTTGCTTATAGAATTTATCCCTCCAACAAA